TTAAAGGGATATGCTGCAAAGGGACAGAAACTAGTGTGGAGGGTCTCCCAATGGCCAAATTTGGAACATGATTCATACCTTTCTGTGGAGAGATCTGGCAAAAATCACTATAATCAAGTGATGAATTAGCATCACTAATACTGGAACATGCCAACATCAAGTGCCACCTGATGTATACAGGAGGTACACCTGTGTCCTTACCATAAGAATCCTCAATATGAGCTGATTGTGAACATGCAGTCAGACAAACTCAAGCTGTGACACATTCTATAAAATAACTGGCCTGTACTCTTAAAAATATGAATGTAATTAGAGACAACAAAAATGGACATCTGTTCTAGAATAAAGGGACTAAATGCAGTTCACAATCCTTCACTAGACCTTCAGTTCAAGGAAGGAAAAAAAAACCTAGCTTCAAGGACATAATTACGATAATTGGGGGAAATCTGAATATGGAGTATTAGGTAACTTTGTGGGTAGGATTGGCTTATGTAGGAGACTCTCCGTCTTCTTAAAAGATTAATGCTAAAGTGTTTAAAGAAGTGTTCTGATGTATGCAACTTACATTTAAATGATTCAATGAAAAATAAAATGCACACATAAAGCAAGTGTGGCAACATTTAGATTTGGGGGATGGGTACCAGGGATTGAACCCAGGGTGTTTAACCACTGAGCCACATCCCAAGCTCCTTTTAAATTTATTTTTTATTTTTTATTTTGAGACAGTTGCTTAGGACCTTGCTTAATTGCTGAAGCTAGCTTTGAACATGAGATCCTCCTGCCTCAGCCTCCTAATCAGCTTGGATAACATGTGTGCACCACTGCTCGTGGACTAAATTTTTACACTGTTTTTGAATCTTTCTGTGGGTTTGAAATCTATGAAATGGGGATTTGGAAAGTGAATTCAGGACATTTCAAATGTTTTCATGCAGTACCTAATGATCATCTTTTTTTCATTAAGGATACTAATTTACCATTTGTCATTGATAGTTCCCTAGTAGCAAATCTGTTAATAATTCAAAGTATCAAAAGAATGGTGAAAAGGCATTTGATAAAAGTCAAAATCCTTCCCAGTTCTAAACACTTTTAAATGAAGCAGGAACATACAGATGATTCCTTTATATGACAGTTACGTATGTTCTTCTAAATGCCAGCATCGTGATTTGAGACATCAACACCTGGAATCATTCTCATTAAAGACAGGGTCAGGAAAATAATACCTGATGTCACTATTTATTTTTGTACTTGGGTGGTAGTAGCTCAAATAGACAAGAGAAAAAAAAATAGAAATAAAATAAGAGATTTTTTTTTATTGTTTAGAGATATTATGAATATTTAGCTGGAAAATCCAAGAGAAGTGACAAATCATTATTAAGTGATATGTTCTTGTTAAAAATTAATAGAACTCTGCTTCCAAAACTGTGGAAAATGAGGTATTTGGAAGGACCTTCTCTTCTATTACCGAAAAGGTAGGTCCTGGCTATGACTCCTGAGTTGCTGGGCTCACAGGAAGTGGATGATACTTTCCCAGACCTACTCCTTTCTGAAAGAGAACCACCAGACTATGGAAAGAAATGGAAGCAGTCAGCTTTAGGCTCTAAAACAGTAATGAGGAAGGTTAATGTGCCACCAGCAATTAGTTTGTTTTGAAATAGGAGCCACAGCCTTGTAGAAACTCCACATTTGCAACATATCTGACAAAGGATTAGATTCCAGAGTAAATGAAGACCTCCCATGAATAAAAACAATAAACTCAGTGGAAAAACAATGTGCAGACAATGGACATCTCACAGGAGAGAGAACATGTTGTAAATAAATATCACAAGCAGTCTCTTTGGTAAAGAAATTTAAGCCACAATGAGATTCCATTTTTCATTTACAGGATTGACAATAATTAAGAAATATAATCTTTTTGAGAAACAATTTGGCATTATCTCATAAGGCTAAATATTTGTGTACTTATAGACCAACAGATTTCACTACTAAGCCTAGACCAAAAAAAAAAAAAAAAAAAAAAAAAAAAAAAAACTCTTGTGTGTGGAACCAGGAGACCATGAATGTTCACAGCTGTCCTGTTGGTAGTAGCAAAAAACGGGGGGTAACGACATGACCATTGTCAGGAGAATAGCTGAATAAATTACTGTAAATTCACATGATGGAATGCACACAGATAACTCCATAGGAAGTTGAAAGTGCATTTAATACACAGAACTACCAAACATCAGAGTGTAGCAGCACAGCACGGTTGTTTTCCCTTGTGACTGCATGGCTGATTGGGGTTTGTGGCTCACTGCAGCTGCCCTGCTGGGTGACAAAGTATCAGTTAGCATATGTCAAGCCCAGGAAAATATCAAATCAAAATCCAAGGTATGGTTTCCAGTGAATGTACATTACCCTCTCACCATCATGAAATTGAAAGATCATGAGCAGAAGCCCTCTTAAATTTGGGACATGTCTTGTATGGCAGTGGAAAATTGAGCTGGTTACTTGCAACTTGGTATATCTCAGTAATGACTCTTACTGAAACGGCAAGTCTCGGGAAATAACAAAATTTAGTCCATTTTTAAAATGTATCAGCAAAACTACATAGGATCCATATATGTTAGATCACTTTTAGAATTATGGGAATAATCAATACAAGATCGATGGCAGTGTTATCTTTGAGGGGTAAGTGAAAGGGATAAGGTAATGTACACGTAGATCCCCTGTGTGTGTTCTGATGGCCGATTCATAGCTCATGCTTGATTGTTGCATTATTGTGTATGTGTTCCATGTACTTTTTCAATGCCAAATAGCATGATTGTGATGAAGAGACAGTGAAATGACTAATAAGATAACTCATACATACGAACTGGTAATCAGTCAGAAGATAGAGGAAGGGAATGTTCCAGGTGAAATGCTAGGAAGACATCTCAGGAACTTCTGAAGTTTCCTGAGACCTGTGCAAGGCCACAAGAGTGGCCTTACTGAGAGCCACAAAAGGAGACTTGAGCAAGTGAATGAAAAGGCATAATTAGAAAAATTTACTAGAAAAAATTATTCTCAGAAAGACATCAGTTCTTCCTAAATCTATAAACTTAACATTTTATAAAAATGCTAAAGCTTTTGTCCATCCAGACAGACTGAAAATCCTCAGCAAATTTTAATTTGTCATGGGGGGTGGGGGGAATTACTTAAGGAAAAGAATACACACTGAAACAAAATTAGGCACTAAAGTTAATATCGACTACAAATGAGCACATAAATACAAACATTAAAAAGTTGGTAAATACGATAAATATCACCAACTTCAAACATTCAGACAAATATTTTTATTAACTTTTGGAGATACCCATTATATTTTCCCCTGCAGTGTTTGGCTATGTATTTACTAATTTTATGGTATTTTCTTGGGGAAAGAAGATCATTGGTGGAACTTTCTGATAGTCTGGGAGAGGTTCAGCTTTGCAACTCCCTGTGGCTGGTGATGGGTGTTTTCCGGATTGCACTCCCAATGGAACTCGTGGGGCAACCTTCCTGCAGGAACAGCACATCTACAGGTTATTTCAGATGTAGGATTCTCCTCACATTACTAATTAAATTGAGGATACTTTCTGTTAACTGGTTTGCCATTGATGTCTTCCTCAGAGTGACAGTTATGAGTTTCATTTCATCTTTAAGTCCATGTTTCATGAAAATTCAGGAGTTTAATATTTTCACCATGTGTTCATGATTCACTTTTCGTTAATTACTAAATAATCCAAGAGCCTATTCATTCTATTTAAAATTTATCTCTTAATTATTGCTTTTAGTTCTGAGAAGTTTCCTTATCACTTGTTTCTTGATGTTAAAATAATTTTTATTAGTTTCATTGTTCATTTTTAATTGCTTGCTTTGTAGTCCAATAATTTTATATATTTTGTTATTTAATGAATAAATGGAGGCCCTTTATATATGTCTCAATAAGGAACTTAAAATTTAAAAAAAATTTAAACTACTCTGAAATTGTTTTTCCAAATTTCAGTTAAAATGACATATTCAGACAGGTGCAATGGCACACAGCTGTAGTCTCAGTGACTTGGGAGGCAAAGACTGGAGGATTGCAAGTCTGAGACTAGCCTGGGTAACTTAGTAGATCCTGTCTCTAAATATAATAAAGACGCTGGGGAACATAGCTCTGTGGTAGAGCCCCTGGGTTCAATCCCAAGTAGCATGCACAAACCAACAAATAAACAAAAAGACCTATATTCTACCTTTGTTAACTCTTAAATTATTGCAATATAATTGACATACCACAAAATTCACCCCTTAAAAATGTAATTCATGTCTTTTCTGTATATTTAGAAAGTTGTACAATCATCACCACTATCTAATTTCAGGGCATGTTCATCACCTCCAAAAGGATTCAATTCCTATTAGCAGTCATTTCTCACCTCTCCTCCCAATTCCTTGCAGTCATGAATCCACTCTTTCATATAGTGTTGTACAATATGGGGCCCTTGGTGCAACCTTTATTAACTTTCTGAGCAAACTTTGAGACTTGTTTGTGTTCAAGTTTTCCTTTTGAGTCATAAAAAGTATATTATAGAGCCTCTGAAATATCATGTGCATATTCTCTAGAAGAGAGCCATACTTTATAATGGGCAAACCATCTCAGGACCCTTAGATTCTGAGAAGGAAATCCCAGTTGACATGGATGTTTAAATAAGATGTCTAATATAAGGGGAAAATCCAAAAAGAACGTGTAGCTCTTGCAGAATCTGAATTAATCAGTAACTTCGGGGAGGAGGAAGGCTGCTTTCCCAGTGATTGACCAGCTGGGCTCCATCCAGAATGTATTTTAAGTACTTACTAATGTTTTTGAAGAGCACTGGAAACTCCATCACCTCTTCTGATAGTTATATTGTTATATGATGGATCATAAGTGTGTATTACAGGCTATGTTATCCAGAGATAAAGCTTTGTTCTGTAGAAATGCCAAAACTATGTTTGGTTTATCCTTATGTGTGCTTTAATTTCAGATGGACTTTGACAAAGTTAAAACTTGTTTTTCTGTATGGCCGGTGGTTTCTAAGAGTAGCACACAGCAATGGAACACACAAAGCAATTTGGATTGTGGAATTTGCAGCAGCAGTAATAGTTGGTGCGTGGTTCGTTATTTACTTACTTGATTTCTCACTTAATTTCACATGTTTTCCCTTATTTTGATTAATTCTCCATGTGCCGTTTTGGATAAATGTGTCACTTTTTTTTTGTCTTGATAATTTTCCAGGCACTTAAGTAAAAATAGATCAAATTGAGTAATTAATATGATGATTCCCTGAGACTTCTGTTATTTGAAGAGCATTACTTTTGAATTTTTTTTGTAATGCTGGGGATGGAACCCAGGGGTCTTGCTCATTATGAGAAGACAAATACTTCCCCATCCTGATCTCTGATAGGAAAAATCCTTTTCACTTATCAATTTAAGACCTCCCACTATTCATTATACTATTTTAAGAATAATAGTGTATATTTTCTCTTGTCTATCCTTCAAGCTAATGCAAAGGTACCTTTCATTTAAATAATGTAATCAGAGTAAACATAGCTTCCTTGTGTTCTGATTTCGGATTTTGGGGAGCCCTCAATACATTTAATCTAGTGTGAAAACTCGCCCCAAATCAGTAATGTGTGTCTTGTTACAAAGACTTACTAACACCCACACATGAGAGAGAACATTTAATCCTTGACTTTCTGAGTCTGGCTTATTTCACTTAGCATCTTGTTCGCCAGTCCCAAAAAGCCGTAATTTCATTCTTTATGAGTAAAACTCCATTGTGTGTATATACCACATTTTCTTACTTCATCTGTTGAGTGGCATCTGAGCTGCTTCCATGACTTGGCTATTGGATATTGTGCTCTATAAGCACTGATGTGCCTGTTTCATTACAGTAATAAGTTAGACCAAAGTAAGGGGAAAGGGTGTAAGGGGGATGCTCTGATAATAGAAGGGAGATCAGTGGAGCAAAGGAAGGGATTGAATGGGAGGGAGGAGGGACAGGAAAAGAGAAGAACAATAGAACAAAATTAACCAAATTATCTCTGCCCATGTATGAATATACCACAATGAACTTTCACCTTCATGTATACCTATAAAGTGGTATTTTACAAGAGAACTATAAATAAATAGAAGTAAAATAAGCAGAATTGTAGGAACAGAGGGAAGGGGGGAAGGGAGAGGGAAGTACCTGGGGACTGAAGAGGAGTAAACTATACTCCATGCATATATGATTATGTCAAAATGAACTCTAATAATACATACATCTATAATGCACTAATAAAAACATAAAAGACTTAATTATAAAAAAAATTGAGAAAATTATTCTTTATTTTGGAAGAGACTTGCCAAATCTTATAACAATTTGTTCATGTTTAAGTTTGTTTTATGATACCTGTTTGGTAAGCATTTTTAGCAACTCATTGATATATTCTATTTGACTTTTGGTACATTGAAATAACAATTTTGGAGTTGAGAAATGTATATTCATCATATTGCAGTGAAGAAATCTTGGTAACAGGCCAGGAGGAGACTCCTCCCACTTTCGAAAGTCAACACCTTTGTTAAAATGAGGCTATAGAAATGATGTTTCCTTTTTACAAGTTTCTGTTTTCTGATTTGATGTATTCTGATTCTTACCATATTATTTATCTAATTTGATGTCATTGTTCTACATATTTTCTGGGCTATTTTGATTCTTTTTGAAATGGTTCTGCATATCATTTCAACCATCAGGAGTCTGAAGTTTCCATTGTTTTATGATATGGAGTTTTTGACACTTGGAAGCTCCTGCCATTCTTTTAATTCATTTTTTTAGCTTCAATCAGATACTTACTTTCCAGTGAGCTTAAATTTTGGATGATCAATAATTGTAGAAAAAGTAGAAAATTGATTTGAAATTAAGGCATACATAAGAGCAATTCCCATGTGTTCAGAAATTGCTACTGTGCCCACTGTGCCCCATAATTGTGTAAGCAGATTATTCATATACTACAAATATTGAATTATTGATGGGATATGTGTAGGAGTTTTTCACTGGAACATTTATTTCTTCAGGCTAGTTTGCTGTAATGGTGGCAATTTTCCATGCTGTTTTATCTGGAACTGTCAGACTTTGTGAGGACAAGATGCATCAGATAAGTTAAGGTTTGCATGAGAAATGCATAAATCATGGCACCATGTCCTCGGGGATGCTTGCTACTCTCAGTAGTACTTTGTTGGTGTCCGACAAACCCCGGATTACAAATTTTATTTTATGTGATTTGTTGCAAAAAAAAGAATGTGTGCTGCTTTATAAAACTCTATGCACTGTTTATTGGGTATATTTTTGAGAAGCAAAACTTTCTGTTTTAATTAGGTATCAATGAGAACAAAACTTTCTGCTAAAAGCTTTGAAACTTAAATATTTCAAAGAATTTCCACAGACTAGGTTCTGGTATATACATGAAAATCTGTTTCTTCTTTAATAAAGTGCACATTTGGCTGTATGAACTTCCACTCTGTCCCTGTGTGATGGGGAGTGAACACTGTAGGTGGCAGGAGTACCCCAGAAGTAGATAGTTCCTGTTAAACCAAACTAACCCTCTCAGTCACTTTCCTTTTAGTCAGACCCAAGGAATACTTACATCTTCAACGTCATGAGACACAGTAAGTGGACAGAAGGGAATTTGAAATAGGAAGAGAATGTTTTCATGATACTTTTGTACATTTTACAGTTTGTACATTTCTTGCAAATTCTTCCTTCCTCCCTTCCTTCATTTTAGTTTCAGGACTGTGGATTGAAACAAGGGGTGTTCTACCTCTGAGCTCCGTCCCCAGCCCTTTCTATTTTTTTACTTTGAGACAGGGTCTTGCTTAGTTTCTGAGGCTGGCCTTGAACTTGTGTTCCTCCTGATCCTCTGGCATAGCTTGGATTTCAGGTATGCAACATTGCACCTGGACTGTTTGCAAATTTCACAAAACGATTTGACCATGTGAACATGGGACCCTTTGTGGCCTTGAAAGGGGCCCATTACAATTGAGAGTCTTTCACTTAGGCTCCATTAGCCTTCTAGCAAGTCTTCCGCCAGGGACCTCCTCCTCATATATTCAGTAAATGTGGGTTTGACTCAACAATATTTGTTTATTGGGCCTTCACTGTTCCAAATATCCAAGGTGCAAGCATCTTGTATGCTCCATCTCTGTGTAAGAGTTGCTTTCTGCCTGTTGTCCCTGCCAGCTGCAGGATTTTGCCCAGGTCTGCCACATGCTGTGTCTGGACTTGTTGCCTTAGCCTTCCCTTGGGGTTGGAGCAAGGGCAAGCAGAACCGTTTTCTGTAACAGAGGAAGCTCCTTTGGGTACCAGGTCCTGTTCCAGGTATGGTTGCACCTTCCCTGTCCCCCATTCCCAGCTCAGTCAAAGCCTAGCATCTATAAGGACAAAGGTCCATAGCACAAGTTTTAGAACCTTAGGTTTGACCGGCTTTCATCCTTTTCTCTGTGGGTCCCAAATGTGGCTGATAATTTTTGCATGTACAAGGTCTCCTAGCTGAGAGCACTTTCCTGGAGCTTTCGGTATCAATGTAGGTAAATGCTCCCCTCCCCTAAAGGTGCTCAGAGTTGCTCTATCTTGCCCAAGGGCACCATTGCAAACTCCAAAGCTTCCATTAAAAAAGAAAATTTTTGGATGGTTGTCCAACCCTGTGAATACACTGAAAACCACAGAACTATCTGCTTTAAATCAGTAAATTTAAGAGTGTGAATTATATGTCAAAGCAGTTTTAAAAAAAAATTCAGATGTTCTTGAATAAACTCTGACACAAACCAGCATCCCAAATGTGTTTGTCCCTGGTGTTGGAGGGAAGTTTGAATACCAAAACATTCCTTTTGTCTCTGGAAACCTCCTATCCACCCTGCCCAGAAGCTCAGGTGCTGTCTTGGTGGGAGAGCCCTTTAGTATCTGAGGCAGAGCCCAGCATCCTGCCTGTTAGTAGACCTCTGTTGGGCCTGATCCACTGGATGGCATTCTGTGGGTGTTTGCTTGTCCCTGCAGCCCCCAGGACCCCTGCTGCAGTGAGCAGACCCTGGCTCTCCTTGAGAAAGGGCCTGTGGCTATGTACCTACCAAGGGTTGGGGTAGCAGCCTTCTCCCACAGAGATGTCAGCAGAGAGTGTTGTGCTCTTAGCAGTTTGGTTTAAGCTCTGCATATCTTCTGTCATTTTGTAGTGGTTCTCAGGATTGAATGTGTATCAGAACTACCAGAAAGGCTGTTAACCCATGAAAGGACTGGCCCTGCCTCAGAGTTTGATTCATTTAGGCCTTGGCTTAGAACTGGGAATTTGCATTTCTGACAGGTTACCAGTGATGATCCAGGAACCCTGCTTTGAGAACAGCTTGACCACATGACCAGGGCCCATCTGTTCTGGGAGGGGCCTGCCAGGTCCCACCTCTGGTGTGCAGATGCATGCAGAACATCAGCTCTGGCAAAGTGGAGTCTCCCAACTGCCCCCAGACCCAGAGCACCAGCTGAGTCTGAAGGGTGATCTAGTGCTGTCACACTCTGCTCTCCAATCCCTCTATGTAGGGCAGAGCTACCTGAGGGTGACTTCTGCAGATAGGGAGGCTTCAGACTTTGTTCTAACTGGATCAGCTGTTTTTTCTATCTTAGGCTTTATCTTTCTATCAGATCCTCCCAGGCAAGTTTGTCTGGAGAGTAAGTTACAGCACAGGGAAAAACAAAAACAAAAAGCCCCCAAACTAACCTTTTTTTTTTTTTTTTATGTTAACTTGGATCCTGGGCTCTGGAAAAAGAATGTTCTGGAATTTCCTTTGAGGTCTCAGTGCCAGAGAGCCAGGGGGCCAGAGGGCCTTTTGGGTGCTAAGCTGTACTTTTCCATGTCACAGAGAGCCACCTCTCTAGGTCCAGTCTGGTCTTGTGGGTCAGAACTCTAGAGTCAGACAGACCTGGGATCATGTCTTGGCACTGCCAGTTCTACCTTTATATATCATGGAGATTAATGTTCTGTCTGGGGTGACCTTTTATTTCTTTCTCTTGCCTGATTTCTCTGGCCAAAGTTTTGAGTACCGCATAGGAGTGGTGAGAGTGGACTCCTTTGTCTTGTTCCTGC